TAGTCTTGCCCTGTGGTCAGGTATGCAAATGTTAACATGTGATGAGTATGCAACAAAAACATCCTCTTGCTGTTAATTTTTAAAGCCTCCGCAGGTCTGGTGTCAAAAGCACAATGAATATAGAAGCAGCAGCATATAAGCTAACAAAAAATGAAACAATTCAAAAACCATCAGTCAATTATATGTATAAATACAACGTTCAGCAGCTAATGTTAATTGGCATTGCTCAGTTTAATTCATTGAACTTGCATGGATGTATTCCAGGGTAGCAGAATATTTACATGTAAATAATTGCTGAGGTGTGTACCAATGAAAAATGAGAAGGTGAGTGTACTGAAAAAACAACCAAATTATTTTTTAAAAGGCATTATTTATTTCTGTTTGATTATGAGTACAGATGTGGCTAAGGTTTCCATTTGTCTTTCTGCGCTCAAATGCATTGGAATTTTTCTTTCAAGCAATCTAAGTTATACAAATGTGAACTCTGCAAAAACAAAATAATACGTATTTTGCATAGGCTTTTGATTAAGTTTTTAGGGACCCTGCATCTCTTCAGAAATCATCATCAGATTCTTTCAGTCTGAAGTATGGAGTTGTATACAGTATATATTAAAAATGTGTGATAAATTCCACTCTAAGTTCCTATTTGTTGTTGGATTTTGTTTCTTTTCAGTAATTCCATCAAGCTAGTGAATCTGTGCTCTATATTTATCAGCACGTGGCTGACAGCAGCTGGGTTCATACATTTGGTAAGTATATTTGAAAATACTTCATTGACTTTTTCTCATGGATCATCTTGCTCTCTGAGCTACTTTATTACCTGAAATTGCCTTGCTCTGGATAATCCCTTAACACATCTGTAGAGCACAATAAAAGAATACATCACAGATTCCCGAATTTTAGGCTTCTACTCAAAACTAATTCTGAATAGTATGTAATAATACATCATTAAGCTCAGCAATAAAATAGGAAACTTGAACTGGTGCAACTTCTCGAATGATCACAATTTACCAGTAGGTGGCAATGTTTCCTAAATAACTACCCAGAGTGCTTCCTGGAAGGGGCTGGCAGAGCTGGAATCATACTGGGCGCCTGGGAAATCAATGTTTGTGCCAGAAGAAAGAGGGTCTGTATTTCCGGGAGAAGGAATGGGATTACTAACATTCCGGGTAGCAATTTTTTAGAGATTATTTCCTTCTCTTTTGTTTTTAAATTTCAATTTTTTGGTGTGGCTTTCAGTCACTGATAACATAAATTTTTGTAATAGATTTTTATTCTGCACTTAACAATACCTGCAAAATGTAAGATAGCTAGTATAGAAGTACAGATGAGTTCATAAATGTGAATATGCATATGTATGATAGGTATATGTCAATTGTGTATTTTAAACATTTTTAAACTAATAGCTTTTACTTATTTGTTTGGTAAATAGAATTAAATATGATTAAGTGTTTGTTCTTTAAGTACATTTTATGATCAACTTAGAATCAGGGAAATTTCAAGGTGGTAGTACTAATAAGTTATTCAGGAATGGTTTTGGAATAATATTATAATTTAATGATATTGATGTTAGTCCAGAGTAATTTAACTGTCTTCACTTGAACTACTTTGAGTTGAATTCAGCTATATAAGATTAAATTCAGAATGTTTATCTTCTTGTTATACCAGATAGTAATTTAATTTTTACTCTTATCAAGATGCAAATTTTGGATGTTTTCATTTATGATATACTTCTCATTCATGGATGACCATGTTTTTACACTCCTCTGGGCAAATATAGAATTTTTATCATAGAAACATTACCTTTTTCTATTTTTGAACCAACAAAAATCCCACCTCATAAAAGTTACATCAGGAGAGAAGGAATGCTGTTTTCTAGGACTTGGATTTGGGTTTTTTTTTTTTTTTGCTTTTCAGCAAAAGTTTCTCTGTTCTACTGTAGGAATCCTCAAACTTCAAACTTTTTACTATGGAACAAATTTTAAAATGCATACTCCTTTCCCACTGATAATTTATAATTTGTCACATACAGTAGCTGGCTTCTTGGAAAAGTAATAGTGTATCACTAAACTTAACATGTCACTAATGCCTTTAATAGCCACATAATGCTTTAAAACAAAATATTAAGTGTAATTGCATTACAAGTAAGATTCACTCTGAAAATGTTCTGAACAAATTGCTATAAAATGAACTCACCTAGCTGCATTAATAAGTTATATTATTTAGTGGTGAATGGTAAAGATACTTTCCATAAATAGTAAGAGTGGCAAGGCTATGCATATTGGCAAAAGAACTGTAATACTATAATTGGGACAGCGTTAGGTTCTGTATTTGTTCAAAATAAATCACAGGAAAGGATCTAGGTTTTATATTTTATGCCAAATTATATACACACACATATGCACTCACGCGCACACACAAACACATATATATCAGTAGAGTTAATTTGTAGTACAGCTCTATTAATTCATTTTATGTTTTCTTGTACATTTTAGGTGGAGAACTCAGGGGATCCATGGGAAAATTTCCAAAATAATCAACCGCTAACATATTGGGAATGTGTTTATTTACTGATGGTTACAATGTCCACTGTTGGCTATGGAGATGTTTATGCAAAAACAACCCTTGGTCGCCTTTTCATGGTCTTCTTCATCCTTGGGGGATTGGTAAAAACTCTTTTATTATTGTTGTTGTTGTTGTTATTATTTCAGCTACCTTAATACTTGATCCTGTATATCTCAGTTCTGTAATTAAAGAAATAATAATATCTGGTTTAGTGAATTAAAAATAATTATAAAACTTTTAAATATGTTTAATACACCCCATTTTTTTTCCTCTAGATAAATATTTTGGCAGACCTTGTCAAATTAGTCCAGTTTAGTAGAGTCAGATTTTTTTCTAATCCTTTTAACTGAGTAATGCATGTGAATACATGAAGCGCCTTAATATTTCAACTTATAATGTTATTTGTAGACCTTTAGTTTTTAGTTACTGACTGTAGCACATTTTTTTGAGGCTGCTATTGATCTGTAAAGGCACTTTGCGGTTTCAGAAGTCCTACCCACCCTTCTGTGTTCCTTCCCAGAATTCCAACAAACACTGTGGCTTTGGACTGCCTTAAAGAGCAGCTTGCCTGATCGAGACAATGGCAAACCACATTCTCTTTAATTTCAAACATCCTTTCATGTCATGTAGCACAATTTTAACTCACAGTTTATCACATGGTCATAACCAGTATCCTTTTTTTATCAGCAAATTCTCATGTTCTTTGTCCTGTATGTACATAGCACCAAAGTTACTAATTGTCTTATGTCAAGTTTTCTATTACTTATCAGTGTTAGTAATTTCATAGGAACTATTGCAATGTTATTCTCTAAAACAGCAAGGTTTATTTCAGTAGTTACACTGTGCAAGGTAAGTGCTTTATGGATAACTCTCAGTATATATTGTGCACATACGTACATACGTATGTTGTTACTTTACTCATGTATTGATTTCACATATACATACATCTTACAGAGGTGATATGTATATAACTAATGTTATGAATACCATATATGAGACATACAGATACATATATATAAGTATATATATGAGCATAACTATATGCATTCCCGTCTATGTTTATTGACATTTGAAGACAAAGACCATGTCAACTGGCAGTAGCTCTTCGAAGTATCCAGCCACAAGGAAGATGTTTGTTGGACAAAACATGGCAGAATAATTTTTATTTTCTCCTCAAAACCCTTTTTTTCTATCATGTGTTATTTCAATTCTTTTAAAAACACACTTTTGGAAAAGTTTTTTTTTGTGGGGGCGGGGGGGTGATCTTTTTGTTTCTTGACAGGGGGAATAACCCCTGATTCTATCTCGTTTTTGTTGTCTTTTGAATCCTAATAACGGGGGGAAAAAGTCTGTCTTTTAAAATGGAAATGTAACAGTAACTATAATGTTTGTTTTTGTTTTTTGCAGTGGAGCTTGGATAGGTTTTTTCCCCCTTCCCTCTTCAGGAAGAATTAGACATAACTGTATTTTGTGATTAGATACCAGTTTGAATTAATTTTGTTCTTGTTTTGTTTTGTGTGCCTATTTTTCCTCTTTTGACAATTTTCTTAATTTATAAGGTGTGCACCTTTTCCAAGACCAACTTTTACGTTAAGCCCTCTTGTTTTGTTTGATAAGAACTTTTGCATTTTTTTTTAATTTTCTTTTTAAACAACTTCATAGATCTAATTCTTTTGCATTTTCAGATCTTAAAGATATATATCTTCTGAAAATATTCATCATCCCCCTTTCTTTGGCCTCTCTTTTTAGTCTTTTCTTCTGTCTCCTATCTTCTTCTTAGGCCATGTTTGCCAGCTACGTCCCTGAAATCATAGAGTTAATAGGAAACCGCAAGAAATATGGTGGTTCCTATAGTGCGGTTAGTGGAAGAAAGTAAGTATCCCAAGAGGCTCTGCTGCCTCTGCTGCAGTAGAACACTCTCTGCATGCCATTTTCTTTTTTTTTTTTGTGTTTTTGTTTCATGCATGTAGGCAATGTTTGCTCGCTACGTGCCAGAAATTGCTGCTCTCATCCTTAATCGGAAGAAATACGGCGGGACTTTTAACTCAACCCGAGGCAGAAAGTAAGTCAAAAAGACCAGGTGTGGTTGTGTGACTTTAAAGAGCCCCTGAAGGTGGTAATAGCTGACTCACAGCTTATAAGGCTGTATTCCTTGACATCAGATGTTACCACTGGAGAGTTGTCACACTATAATTAGAGACCTGGGCTATGCTACGGTACAAGTCACAACGTTTTGTCCCTAATTCAAGAGAACCTGGATACCACTAAGACTACACTGACTTATCTTGTAAAAAAAATGCTGCTATTGCATATGCACTTAGCTTCTGGAACAAGGTTGACTTGTCACTTCAGAGTTTTGGACATTAGATTATCATGTGGTCATCTCTTAACTAAGTGACAATGATAATTCACGTGATTTTTAAACAACTTAGTTCTTTAGAAAACTTGGTTTACTGGAACGCAAAATACGAGATTTTTCTTGCTTGGGTTATTCCATTAGACTGTGTCAGAAGTCTGATAGTGCTCTTTCTCATTGCTCAAACAGCAGATTCAGATCTCATGCAGTGCCGATTGACTTCATATGAATGTTGCAAATGCTTGTGATTTTAGGATCTGTGCCCAGGGTTTTTAAAGTGATTCTCTTCCATGCACTGTATAAAACTGTATAAAGAAGAGCAAGTAGTAGCCTTAGTATCAAAATAGTATTGAAAAAAAACACCCTGTAAAAAATACTATTTTTACCTGGTAGCAAAAGTTAAATTTTATTGGATCACATAACCTAATTACATTTCTATGGAAAGCCTGCTTGTTTTTTCAACCAAGTTAAAACCAGCTCTTTCTGGCATTCCCAGCATGTAGATCTGCTGGGATATAGCCTTTAATGAACTAGATGTACTTGGCGATATGGTAGTTTCTCCTCTATATCACCTTTAGTGTTGCCATCTTTTATTTCATTACATATCATTGTCATATTCACTGGTAGAGATATGTTCGCCCTGAAAGACTTGTCATATAGAATCCTTTCCATATAACATAAAGAAGGTACTGCAAGCAACATATCTAATTAATTCTACCTCTCCTTACTTTAAGAAGATATGTTTTTTACTTGATTCCTTTCAAATCATCACCCATGCATCATTTTATAAATGTGCGTTATGGTTTTATCAAGTTGTTTCTCCTATCTGTGGAGCAGAAAGACTGTACCTGTCCCACAGAGCTAAATCTAGAGGACTGTTTTACATCACTGGGTAGATAAATCCAAGTTTTTTTCTTTATAGCTTATACTATTATATGTTCAGTAATACTCAAGGAATTAGATGACACAATTGGATACTTCCATACTTCCTTTTTTTGAGGTACCCTCAAATGTCTAAATTTTTTCTTTTTACTGTAAACACAAATATTTATACTTGCATCATAATTCACTTATCCAGATTAACCAAATGCCTTAATTTATTTCTGAGATAGACTAGTATTGTTAATTTCCAAAAATGTTTATTTGTGACAGAGGCCCACTCAGTTTCATATTCATACTTGATTTCTCACAAAGAGAAGTTTTTCAAACACAGAACTTACACCTATGTTTTTAACATTCCAAAGGAGTTATAGCAGAGGGGAATATGGTTAAAAACTATTTTACATACAGAATTTTAGTGTCTCCCCTTCTACATTGTCACTGGTACCCAGCATTGCTCAGATGTCTCTAAATTTGGACCTGATCTTCAGTCAGAACCCCACATCCTGAAAAGCTCAACTCTAGATTGCAGGCTTCTGCTAGCTTTGGGGCATGCTTAATTTTATTTTTTCACCTTTTCTTTTTCTCTTAATATGCACTGTCTGTCTGTTTTTAGCTCACACTGTTGTCAATGCTTTCTCTGCTGATCTCTACTGACCATATAACTTGTCGTTTGAAACTCAGCTCTGTCATCAGCATACAAACTGTTCGTTTTACTTTATGCATTGTTTTCTGGTTCAATTATTAATTACAAAGTAGTTTAAAGATGTCCTTTGCTCATGTGGGTCTTTCATCAGAGAATCTAAGCTTGGAAACTGCACAGTAAAAAGCCATTAGCACTCCTTGTTTGATGTTGCTTTTGCAGTCAGTAGAACAAGATTGATGAAATGTTATGTTTGGCCAAAATTTAAGATTTCATTTGGAATTCAGTGTTGAGAGAATGGATTGTCAGAACCAATAAGTTTTCCTTTGCTTGGAATATGGGCATGTGGTAGTAATTAGCAATATAAGGTCTTTAGTTGAGCAGCCAAGCATAGATTCTGGCAGCAAACTTAATGAGAAACTACAGTTGTTCTATGTCTAACGTCAGAAAGTTGCTAGATAAAATTAAATTCATGTACAAAATGAAAGCAGCTAAATTTTGTTGAAAGATGTAGTTTCAGCTCTTAGAATAGCAAATATGTATATATTTTAACTTTCTCCAAAATAGATAAATACATGGAATCTACTTTGTATCATTTATATATATATATGTATGTTTATTCATGTTGCCTCATGAACTATGTCTGTGGAATAACATGCTTTTATATGATTATTAAGCATTTAGGTGGGAAGTTAAAATTAAGATATGTTTATGTATGTTCTGAGGATTTCACTACATCGGTTTAATACTAAGGAGAACCTTGGTATAGAATTGTAACTATTGAAGCAGCTAGAATGTATGCATAAAAATTATTTCTACAAACTTCACTTACAAAAGAAGAGAAGTTTGATCTCACATTTAATTTTCCTTTTCAGCCAATAAAGTCCCCAAAGGACTTATAAACTATATAGGAATCATTTTGCACAATAAAGAAGCTTACTTGTCTCACAGATGAGACACATACAGAGTTTGGAAACAGAAGTAGTTTGTAGGCAGTATGCAATTATCACTGGTTAAATTTACTAGACACTAGGTAGTTTTGTTATACAAGTCCATGGGGAATTTTAAATTTAATTTGTAATGTTTCCTTTGTAGTATATTCCTGTAATGAGACTTCTAAGATCTCATCGAACACAAAGCAGGAATCTTATTATAGTCTTTCATTGAAGTTTTACCTGTTAAATAAACAACAGTACTCACTGTTGCATATATAACAAAAACCATACCAATATGTCTATTAAAAAAAATGGGACTGAGACCAAATAGACCAATTAATGACAAGTAGGGTAATGACTTTGGCACAATTACAATCTAGTGCAAAAAAAAAAATTGTTATGAAAAAGGTAGCAATCCTTGTCATGAATTTCATATTTGTAAACAATGACATCTACTCTATAGGTTATGAGATTACTGCTAAACAACTGTTTAGCTACTATTTAAAGATCAGCTCATCAGAAGATTCTGTAATGTTTTTACCATGTGCCCTGATACACCAGAATCAGATGGTCAATAGACAAGAGAAAACTGGCCGCCTTAGTTCAGTTATACTCAGAACAAACAATTACTTCTTGCTACAGTCACCACTAAATAAATACAAATGATACAGAGAAAATTAGACTGTTGTTAACGAGACAGAAAATAGTTGATATTAAATATATATATATGTATGAGTAAGCTGTAACTGGGAAATAAAATTCAGGCATCAGAAGCAATCAGAACTATAAAAAATATTATTTTCTGATATTACTAAGAGGTATCTTAGGATAACAATGATGTGGCTTCCAATATTTTCCACACTGAGTCCTACGTAGTTTTTCTGTTCTTTCACATGAGCAATTCAGTCCCTACTGTTTGTTCTTCCTGTGCATTTTCCTGGATGAATTCTGTACTATGTGATTTTACATTTTGGGATATGCTTTTTGCAAAGCAGGTATAGCAAATACTATGATTTACACGTTAGCCAATGTTCTGCTGATTTCTGTAGAAGTAGGTAATGACGTAACTTACTTTTTCTGAAGAGCAGTTGGCATAGTTTTATTACTAATAGACTAGTAACTGACTGACAGAATTTTTGTGAGATTTAACAGAGTCAAGTTTACGCTTTCTGAAGATGAGGAGTGTTTTAAAATGCAATGTAAGTTAACTTATTAATTGCTTCATCACCAAGTAATATGTCGTCACACTAAAAAATATCTGAAATATTATATAGGACGTACCTCACTAAAACATTGTGTAACTTACTAGATCACTAAGAAATAACTAATGAAAGCACATACCTGAAAGAAGTTATATACACATAATTCCATAAAGTAAATTAGTGACAAACTAGTGTCATTATGAACAGATGAAGTTGTTTGTAATGGCAAAATACTGGATAGAAATGCTGGAGATAAAAGCTAGATGTAATATGTAGTTGGGTGGAGAAGAAAAAAATCTGATCTTTTATTACAGGATTATTAGAAGTCTATAGATTAGACTTTAGATTAGAAAATAATATGTAATTGTATATATATAAGCAGGGGAAGTTTTATGCTTTTTTGTTTGTTTGATTTTTTTTTCATCAGCTACAAACTGAAATGGTATACAGTTTGAGTATCAATGATATTTCCTGTTAGCCATTTTTGTTAATAATTTTAAGACCAGCAGCTGGTTCCCTACACCCCATCTACATTTAGGTCTTTTCTTTAAGGCTTTCAATTTGACCTGCTCTGTTTAGACTCTTTCGGTAACTGATCTGTAGAACTCATGAGTTAGTATTCAAGGGATAATTTTAAAGTGATATTTTAAAAATGAAGTACCATGGAAGGATGAAAAAGTGTCTGCTACTCTATCACCATAGCTGGTAGACTATTGTTTTTAGAATGTAACAATAAGCCTACAGGTTAGTTCATGCACGCATACCTCTGTAAGGCTGAAAGAGGCAGTGGTCGCTTTGGCTTTGGATGATTTTCTGAAGTGTTCCAACTAACCTCTTAAGACTTAAAGCGTGAAATT